GTTGTTGCTCATGTCACCCAGTGGCTTCTTACAATGACACTCAAGAGAAATTGCTTTCTAGTTCTGAGATATTGGAGGTTTTTATTGTATGGGCACTGAATTCTATCAGTGACCAGGTTTCTTTCTTTTTTTTTATTTTTTTTAATTTTTGCTGCTCAATAACTTGATTCAAGTTTGTACACACCTGTTGCAAGAATAGAGGACTCCTATAATGTGTCTATTAGCCTTAATCCTGGCTCCCTTATAATTTCCTACTTTGTTCCCTACCCATCCCTTCCCATCCCTTCCCATCCCTTTTTTCCCATTTTCTTGCCTCCATGTGATCAAGCTGTATTTTATATACATCTGCCTCATCTGCTGTAATTCCTTTCTGGAACAGTGAGGAGGGTAATGAAGGGATGGCTTCCTCAAGAGTTCAGCCTTTTCCTGGGACTAACTTTGTACAATTGAAGTACAGAGATGAGGTAAGGAAAGGAAATGAAACTACAGGAACATCCAGCTCATGATTTCAGTGACGATAATCTTGGGCAAGGTTCTACGGCCCTGGGGCAGATTGCTCCTCTCCCCAGGGCTTTGGTTCCTTTGCTGTGTGGGGAAAAGCCAGCACCTCCTTAGATATTTTCTAAGCTCTTAACTCTGTGATGCCGCTAAGAACTGGTGGTGTTTAATAGGGTACAGCGGTTTCAGCCAATAGTGACTTCACCACCTATGCCTGAGGCAAGGCCACTGGAGCAGGAAGTCTGAGCAGGTTGTTCCCCCACCTGCTTCCAGGGCCTCCATGACCCTCTTTTGCCCTTCTTACTCATTAGCAGAGGGAGAAGATGTTCAGGAGGAGGCCTGCTCAACTCACCTTTCTCCGTTCACTCTTACCTTACTCCACCCTGGGGCTGTCCTGTTCCCCGGATAGGGAATCCTCCTGTAGCGAATCCTCATACCTTTAAGCCAGCTTCGTCTTCCAGCCTGCCTTAAGAACTTTCAGCTTCAGAGGCATGATTTATACTTCCTCAAAGGGTGATGTTTTATTCTCTGAATTGTTTCTTTTGCAGTTCCAGTGTGCTAAATCCAGCTTCCACTGTGATTGATGTGTCCCAGGAAAACACAAGGAAACCGGCTGTGTCTCTGGCTAAGGTAGATTGAGCCCAGACTTTAAAAATCTCATTTTTGGCAAGAATGCTCTTCTTCTTATTTTATCAAAAGTACCACAAAAATAAAGAGAATTTTGTAGTACTCTTTTTGTTATAAAATATCGATAATCTTTACTGTTTTTCTTGTGGTAGAAAAAGCTGATGAATAGTATGTTAATACATTGTGAAGACCCAGATTTCTTGCCCAAGGCAGCAGTCCCCAACCTTTTTGGCACCAGGGACCGGTTTCATGGAAGGCAATTTCTCCATGGAGTGGGGTGGGGGATGGTTTCGGGATAATTCAGGTGTATTACATTTATTGTGCAGTCAGACCTCTCTGCTAGTGACAATCTGTATTTGCAGCTGTTCCCCAGCACTAGCATCACTGCCTCAGCTCCACCTCAGATCATCAGGCATTAGATTCTCCTAAGGAGTGTGCAACCTAGATCCCTCCCCTGCGCAGCTAACAGTAGAGTTCTGCGCTCCTATGAGAATCTAATGCTGCCGCTGATCTGACAGGGGGCGGAGCTTGGGCAGTGATGTGAGCCATGGGGAGCAGCTGTAAATGCAGATGAAGCTCCCTTCCCTCACTGCTCACCTCCTACTGTGCAGCCCAGTTCCTAACAGGCCACAGAGGAAAGTACCGGTCCCACAGCTTGGGGGGTCTGGGGGTTGGGGACCACAACCCTAGAGAGTAAAAAGTCTGAAACTATTTGGTACTGCTTCTTTCAAGCATATGGAATGTGGCTTGTTAGTTCCATGTCAGTCCTTATTCCTACTCATAGCTTCCTGAATCTCTGTCAGAGGTCTGCTTCTGGGAGGGAATTGCCAATTTATGAAACTACAGACAGTAAACATTGGTATTCAATCTTATGTTAATTAAAAATCCCTATTAATTGATACTCTTTTTGTCATTAGAATTGATGAGCATAATAATGACAACGAGGCACTTCAAGATACCGAAAGTGTCTTCTAAATCCTTAGGAAAGGTCAATTACAATTGTATTCCATACAAGTGTGATCTGGCACAATGAGAGTCTGGTGTGGTAGACAAAGCACTGGTGGGAATATAACCTGATGAGAGACCTAAGTTTGCTTTGACCTTGACCAGGTCTTTGCTCTATCCAGACCCAAGTTTTCTTACCTGTAAAATGGAATTTTGATTTAAATGCTTGTTTCTGATCTAACTTTGTAGGACTCTGGCTTTAAGTATATTTTTACAATTTTTTTGTATGGCATATGTGATAAATCTGTGCTAACCAGATTAATCAGGACAACTATTTTTCAAACATGCCAGAGTTTACTGGATAAAACTATCAAAACTGGAGATAATAAGCATTTGCTAACACTGAGTTGCTACATGACATTTAAAATAAGTTTAATAAACAATATTTTTCCCCAGCAAAGGAAGAATCCATTTAATAGCTCCAAGTTGCCAGAAGATCACTCATCGCAACAAACCAAAAATGAACAGTCAAAAAATGGAAGAGCTGGTTTATTTCAGACTTCAAAAGAGGGTAAATATTATTTTTATGGACTAGATAGTTTTATCTTTGTTATCTGTGGACTAAGGGAAATTCTCAAAGTTCCTTTCTCTAAAATAACTTCCAAGAGAAAGTGAAAAGTCCTGAAGACTTTCTTATTCTACTATGCCCATTGGTTTCTTCCTTGAGAAAGAGAAAGCATAAATTTTAGAAACTGGAAGTCCACGCATTCTGATCGTGGGGCTGCTGCTTGTTACGTGACCTCCATGCCTTGGGTTCTCTCATCAGTGAATTGGGAAATTTATTTGCCAGAGGCATTCAGTCTTTCACTTACCAGTATTAATTGGACGCCTACCATGTACCCACACATTTCTGTTTAAAATTAAAAGAGGTTGCCTCAAGCAGAAAAGAAAGCCCTCCTGACAATGTTATGATCCTCTAATCTGTAATTATCGGCCCAGTCGCCCAGGAGCATTTGATCAGGTTTGTGGCTTAATTAAGTCTGCCTTAATGGCATTTTATCATTCTTACTTACAGTTAAGAGGAAATACTAGACAATTCGATCTCTTCAAAAGCAACTCTAAGAAGATTCTACAAACATCAAAAGATTGGTCAAGGGGTAGAAAATTAACAATTGAACAGTGGAGCCAGGGCTCTCAGTTGCCTGTTTTAATAGTATATTTTTCATTGGGTACATTTTATGTTACACAAAATATTTTGTAGAAAAAAATCACTGGAACATGTTACCTGTTTGTTTTTAACTTCTTGAAAAAACAAATTTTTGTTTTAGGTATTGGGATTTTATTTTTTAAAAATTGAGCTCCCTTTTCTGATTTCCATACATGAATTTTTTAAATGACTTCTATTTTTTTTTAAGCCTCCTTTAAGCAATTTTCTTTTTATTCTTTTTTTAAAAAAAACTTTTTTGAATGTAAAGTATCTCAAAATATGTAAAGCACAGTAATCTTAAATGTACTGTGCAATGAAGTTCATGCATGAATTTTTTAATAGACATTTTTAGAGCAGTTTTAGGTTCACAGCAATATTGAGCAAAAGATACAGTCATTTCCCATGTATACCCTATCCCCACACAGGCACAGTCTCCCCCGTTACCAGCAACATGCACCCGAGTGGTACATTTGTTACAATTGATGGATTACATTGAGACATCATTATCACCCAAACTCCATAGTTTATATCAGGGTTCACTCTTGGTATTGCACCCTCTATACATTATACTCAAATATATAATGGCATGTATCCAATAGATCCACCCTTATAGTATTGTACAGAGTAGTTTCACTGCCTTAAAAATCTTCTATGCTGCAATACATGAATTATTTTTCTTTTTCCTGGCCGTTGATTTATTTTTAAATAATTTTTTATTTTTAATTATTATGGGTACATAATAGTTGTATATATTTATAGGGTACATATGATGTTTTGATATAGGCATACAATGTGTATTAATCAAATCAGAGTAATTGAGGTTCAATCATTCATCATTTCTTTGTGTTGAAAACATTCCAATTCCACCCTTTTAGTTATTTTAAAGTATACATTGTTGACTATAGTCACTTTGTTGTACTATCAAATATTGTTCATTCTATCTAACTATCTAACTATATTTTTGTACTCACTAACCATCCCCAATTTATCCCTGCTCCCTACTACCCTTCCCAGCCTTGGGTAACCATCATTCTACTCTCTGTCTCCATGAGATCAATTGTTTTAATATTTAGCCCCTCACATATGGGTGAGAACACAAGGCATGAATTTTTAAAGACTTTTCACATTAGGTGTGCACTTACGCTACCTCCTTTACTGTCCTTAATATTTCAATACTTTTACTAACTATAGGTTATGTTTATAACTATAGGTTATGTATTTTAAGTTGCAGCATTATTCTTCATATGATATATGTGTATATATATATATATATATATATCACCTAATGTGTTTTAATTTTCAGGTGAATTGTCAGAGTCAAAAGGAAAGTCACCTATCCTAGATATTTCAAGCCAAACATTAGAGAAGTCAAAGCAGACTTTGCCAGGCCCTTCAAATGGATCTCAAATCAAGGCTCCAATCCCCAAAGTCAGGAAAATGATCTATAAATCAAATGATTTAAACCAAGGGGATAGCCAGTCTTTTCCTAGACAAAGGACAGACTCCCTGAGCACAAGAGGGGCTCCCAGAGGGATCCTCAAGCGCAACTCCATTTCCAGTAGCACAGACTCGGAAACTCTTCTTCGTTTTAATCACAACTTGGAACCCAAAAGCAAAATTGTGTCACCTGGCCTAACCATCCATGAGAGAATTTCTGAAAAGGAGCATTCTTTAGAAGATGACTCTTCCTCAAACTCACTGGAGCAGTTAAAGCATGTGAGATTCTCTGCAGTGAGGCATGAACTTCCACAGAGTCCTGGGCTAGTCCATGGCCGGGAAGTGGGAGAATTTAGTGTTTTAGAATCTGATAGGTCGAAGAATGGAACAGAAGATGCAGGGGACATAGATGAGTTTCAGAATGATCCTAAGTCTTCCCAGTACAGAAAACCTTTGCCTTTTCATCAGTCAGCCTCAAGCCCAAATGTATCAAAAAATGAAGCGCATCAGCCAATGACTTCAGGTTCTTTTCCAATTAATGGGCTCCATTCTCATTCAGAAGTTGCAACTGCAAGACCACAGTCCATTGAGAATTCACCCACCATCAGTGCACACAAAGATAAATCATCAGAATTAACAAGGCTTGAATCAGAATTGCCCAAAAGTTCTGCTGGTAAGAAAGTTGTCACTACCAGGTTATAAAAACTGACCCAGTGTTCGTGGAATGACCAGACCAGCCAGCCCTGTAGAAGCCTATTTTGTTGCCTTTTAGGCATTCTAGCTAGAATTCAGGAAATGTTTAAACCTCTTAATAAGTTTGGAGGTTTTCCTTGATCATCGATAAGGAAAAGAAACAGGATAGCACAGTTTCTGGCCCAGCATGGTTTACCCTAAAAAACAAACAAACAAACCAAAAAACCCCCATATTATTTAAACAAATGGCAATGTTTTTTAGTTAAATCAAGGTATATATAGAGAGGGTAAAAATTAAAGAAATGCTAATATCTTTGTACAGAGTAAATATATTACTACTCATCTAATGCGAATTTATTAATTACCATTTTACCAAACTTTGATTTCTCTTGTTATCTCAAGAGAACCTTCACTTTCTTAGCTTCAAAGGATGCGAACTAGACTTTAGTACTTATTATGAAAAAGCCTCAGACTTTGGCCTGCCCAGGGCCTCCAGCCATTTGTTTTCAAACTTTAAAAGCTCCTAAGGAACTTCTTCCTTTAAGTGGTGTGAATTGAGAGGCAATGAATCACTGCTTTTTCCTGCTAACTAGCCTTGTCTTGAAGGTCTCACCACTCGCAGGGAATGCCTCCAACTACTTTCTGATACCTTTATGATTGTGAAGTAATCATAATGCCTCATAATCATAATTTCTTAGATTTTAAAAAACAGAAGCAATGGGAAAAATTATGCTGTATACTCTGTCTCATTTTCAATAAATCTGCATCCAACTCTATGATAATTTCTTTACAGTTAGGAAAATTTACAATAGCAACAGTCAAGCTTCTGACTCTCCTGCTCTCCTTCTCCCTTATTAGTCAGTATTAGGTTAACTCTGAGTCACTTTTGCTCAGCCCTGCAGCTTTTTCCATTTTCTGGTCAATCCATTTCTTAAAAGACACTTAAAATCATTTGAACATGACAACTTTTTTTTAAAATATTAAAAAGTAGCGAATGTTTTCTTAAGAAATAATAGAAACCATATTAAAGGAAATTATTGTTTGACCAAACATTGACAAATAATTGCATGACGTTTACCTAGATGTTTATTCAAAAGGCAAAAAATTTCTTTGATAATATTTCCCTTTATTATAATAGATAGAAAAATTTGGTAAGCCTTTCTTGTTTTCGAAACTGTACTTGTTTTCTCACAGACTACCTTTGTAATTTTGGATTTATTTATTTGTGCTTTCTGATTTTTAAATCCCAACTGAACATTAAATTTGGGAGCAAAACATCAGCTAAACCCATTTTGATTGACTGGTAGCCTGTCTGGTCTCACAGAGTGCTTATAAATAAAACATTGCTTACTTGTTAATGCCCTGCTTTTTCCCCTTTTTGCTCATCACAAAAATATATACAAGTAATACTGGAACATAAAAAGAAAACCAGGACCAAAAAATAGTAAGTGTGTGAATCAGAAGGGTTTGACTTTAGCTCTGAACTTCAGGACAGTCAATATCTCATTATCATACTGGAGAAAAAAATCCTCAGAGGAAACAAACCATTCCTGGCACTGAATTTTTAAAATAACTGTTCTTATTTTTAAACCAGTAACTTTAACTGTAAAATATTCAAGAAGAAGAAATGCACACAGAATTTTTAAAAATCTTGTCTGTGATGTCATCACCCAGCATTAACTACAGCTAACATTTAGTTGGAGTTCCAATAATTTTTAGGCATGAATATAATTTGAAAATCGTATTTATACTGCCCAGACTTCCTTTTTCACTAACAGTTTATCACGAACATTTTTTTCATCACCATTAAATTGTCTGTAAACAGACTAAGAATTCTTAAAGTTCTCTCAGAGGAAAGTCATACTTATTGACATATATTTAGTAGTACAATATGTACTTAAGAAAGGAAACCAATTTCCACTAGGTGCCAATTATTGTACAAACTCTGTTGTTTTCACACTTAGCCAGAGTTGATGATTAAAACTAAAGATAGAGATTTATTAACTATAATGTCCTCTAGTGCATTTGAAATGTGGCTAACTTCCTAAAAATTTAGCTCACACAATTTTTAGGACCATCCCTGTACATGTATAGCATTTTAGGAAAAGTAGAAATACTAAAACATCTGAGCTTTAACTAAAGGGTCTTAACTAAATGCCTAATGATTCGTAAGGAAACGCCCGAGTTCCCTGATACAAATGTACTGTGTGCACTGTGATTAATGTACTGTGTGCACTGTGATTAAGGCTGCTTTCTTGATAGCTTAGAAAAAACTCAAATATCCTTCTGTAGCCTCCTAGCCATTGGTAAATCTAAATTGGAGAACAGGTAGAGATCATATTCTCCATCAATCTTCATTTTAGTTTATTTAGCTTATAGAAATAATTTGTAACTTAAAAATGGTAGAAAGGAAATGGAGCATAGTGGAAGGGTCTGTTGAGATCATGGTTCTTAAAACTTCAGTGTGCAAAATGATTACTAGGATAGCTGTTAGTAAAGATTCCTAGGTCCCATCTTCAGAGATTCTGGTTTAGTATATCAGGAGTAAGGCCCAGGAATGCAAATATTCTCATTGTCCCATTCAAATGTTGTGGATGGAATTACTTGTTTTGTCTTACTTGAAAGTTGTTTTTCTGACTCCTGAAATCACTTAAGTCTGTGCTCATCAAACTTGGGTATAAGCCCCATCAAGGGTTCATGACATTATCAGGGGATGGGTGAAGTCATAAAATCAGTATGGTGTACCTTCCTGGAGTGTCAGTTTTATGCAAAGATTTGAGAGTAGGAGAAAATATTTAAAATGTAACATGGAGCAGAATGCAAAATTCACATGAATTTTTAAAATAAGGGACTTTGAGGAAATTTCCCAGTTAGGTCTATACCCCATACTACATTTACTTTCCATTACTGTCATAGGGCAGCCTTGGTAGGACATCTTAATACGACTATAACCCCTGAAAAATGCTGGTACAAACAACTAGTGATATAAACAGTGCCGATAAAAAGTGCCTTTTTGAAAAGATGATGTGAATGATTGAATAATAGTTCCTTATGCATGCTTTTTTCTTATTTAGCAAAGCATTTCTATATTGCAGGTGAACTGTCTCATTGTGTTGAGCCTGAGCCATCTCAGGTGCCAGGTCGCAGTTCTAGAGACCATCAGCAAGGTAAGCCCCCTCCTCTCCTGGCTCTAAAAGCTAAGACATTCTCACAATCTGGTCCATATGCCACTGAGATAAGGAAGACAACTGATGATTCCATATCTAAAGTCCTAGACTGGTTTAACCGAAGTTCTCATTCAGATGACAATAAGACATCCCTCCAACTTCCCCAAGGAATAGAGCCCGAAGAAAAAATAGACTCAAAATCACAGGTTGCTATTGCCTTGGTGACAGATGACAACAGTTTAAAAGAAAATGGCTCAAAGGCCCTATCATCCACCAAAGTTGAACTGGAGCCAGTGAGATCTGACTCAACATTTCAGGTAGAAGGAGATATGCTGCTTTCTGGAAATGGCCAAGATAATGATGTGGATATCAAATCCAAATCTATGAACTTGTCCCAAAAAGGCACCCCAAAGGAAGGCCTTGGTATACTGCAACCATTCGAAAGCTGTGGTACCCCAAGTCAAAGGAGCGAAAATATGGACTATAGCCAAGATTCAAATAGCTTAGGAAATGGGGCACCTCCTCCAGCCAATAACCATTCCTTCAGTGTTCTCAAGGTATCTGAAGCAGAAGACCAAGTTCCATGCAACACTAATATTGGCAGCTTTGGTGAAGAAGAACCCAAGCTTCTTGTTCATGAAAAAAATAGAGGAGACTCAGAAGTGAATTTTGACTCTTCAACAATTTTCAAAGAACCAAATTTGAAAGACAGCCTGAAAGCAGAGAGAAAGAGCAAAGGAGGAAATACTCACATCCTGAAAGCTTCCTTAGAGCCAGAGAATATTGAGTCACCACCTGGAGTTGCCAACAATGGATCTCCTTGGAAGAAGCCCGAGGTCCAACTGCAACAAGAAGCTGGTGAGGTTCCCAAGAACCAAGTGCAAAGAGAGAAATACAAAAGAGTGAGTGAGAGAATATCCTTTTGGGAAGGAGAGAAAGCTGCCAAGGTAACTCATAAAGAGCCCACATCTTCAGACAACCTGGAACAACCTTCTGCTAAAGAATGTCAGCCTGTGAAGTCACAGAGTATGGCCATAGACAGCTTATCTACAGGACAGAGTGAATATAATTGGGTCACTGCCAAACGAGTGGTCCTAGATGAGGATGGTCAAGCACCCCCACTCTCCAGTTTTTATTCCTCAAATAAACCTAAAGAGACCAGGCCCCAAATATCAGGTCCATCCAAAAGCCCTCCTTCAGCTGACCAATCAAGTAAAGTGTCTCTGTTTCAGAATAAGACAAATGAGCCTATAAAAAGAATGCCAGTGGCAGACAGTGTGAATTCTAGAACAGACATTATTTTACCAGCATTGCAACATCCCTCAAATGCCGGAAATGAAATACACGCTCCTTTGGAGAAAGACAGACCTTTAGCTGGTGAATCAAATACCAACTTTAAAGTTATGTCCCTAAAAGAAAGAATGGATGGATCCAATGCAGAACAGGTCTATAATCACTCTCAGTTTGAGAATTTGAGAAAGTTTTGGGACTTAGAAGCTAACCCAAACAGTAAGAATAGTGGTGTGAAGAATACTACCACAACAAGTCAAAAAAATTCCGTGCCTTTTAACAGCCAGAAACACAAAGAATTCAGTGACATTAAATTATCAGGAAAAAATACCCATGAAGTGGAGGCGCTTATAAGCCAACAAAAAGTTACAGCAAGAGAGGAAATGGAGAAATTAAACTCAAAGTGCATGCTCCAGGTGCTACCAGATGAAACCACATTTCCATTGAGACCACCCAAAGAGTCCACTCATCAGTTGCCAGGCAATGAGTCATCAACGGAAAATGTGGAAAAGAATATGGAATGGCTTGTTACTCCAGTGTTTGAGGAAGAAAAGGGTTACTCAGACCCAGAGATTCAAGAATCCATAGTGAAAATGAACGTTTTGTCTAAAGACTACAAAGACACTTTTAATGACAGCTTACAGAAGCTACTTTCAGAAGTTTCATCACCAGTAATTCAACCTTTTGGTGGAAAAGTTCATGGAAAATTCATGCTCAAACCAAGTGTTTCTGAAAATAGGACATGGCCTCAAAAGACAGATTTTGCTGATACTGAGGAAGAAGCCAAAGGACCCAAGAAGGCCACCGATGAACATGTAGACAGAACAGTAGCTCCTCCAAAGGTCAAACAGAACACTCTGAGTGCTAACCTGAAGGAAGCAACTGGAACTTCACCCTCTCCCTTGCAATCCAAGTTAGAACCCATTACCACCAGAACCAACTCTAAGCCTGAGGAGGGTAGATTTTTTGAAAAAGGGGTAGAACAGAGTCACAACACTTCAGCCTGTCAGAGAGAGATTGTAGCTACTTCTCCAGAGGGAGATACAACTTTGGGAAATATAGCTCTCCCTCAGAAAGCTGAAAGTGGTGAGTGCCAGCTAAACAAGGAGAACTTGCTTCAGGTGGCTGCAGAAGATTCTCACCCATTGGATCAGCCTTCTCATCTTTACAGAAAGGGTTCTTTTGGGGATGTGGCCAACTCTCCCCAAGATATGTTTTTGTCCCAGGATGCTCATCTTGTTCCCCAGGATAGGGTGCTGCCTTCTCAAAGGGAAATTTCAGAGACTATAGAGAAAATTATTCTTCCACCCAAACCTGCATTGAATGATATAAATGCTGCATTACAGAAGCTGCATAGAGAAGCATGGTTGAGTTACCCAGCTGGGAGGGAAGTCGGTCCTGGAGAAGTGAAACCAGAATTTCCTGAAGAAGTACAGGCAGCAGGTAGCCCCAAAAATCCTCTGGGAGTGATCCCACCATGGGTTACAATGGACGCCATAGTTCCAGACAGGAAGGATTTTTATTCCTTCAATGTAGTTCCAGATAAAACTCATGAAGTTGGATCTTATTTAGCTGCCCAGATGTCTCCATCAGAACAGACCCTTAGCTCATCTGGTTTCACTGTTGTGCAGTATGGCAAAGAGCTACCTCAGGAAGTGGCAGAAATTGTGAGGGCAACAGTTACTCAACCCAAATCGGAGTTCCTCGAATTCAGTGCTGGCTTAGAAAAACTGTGGAAGGAAACAATTGAAACCTCCCCCTCAAAATATGAAAGCGATACAGGGACTCTTTTCCTATCAAAGTTAATAGGTAGTACAGAGGAGCCCAGGAAAGCTGCTTATGAATTCCATCCTGAGGAAATAAAAGAAACAGTAGAAAAGGCTGAGGCTCCATCAATAACTGAGAGTGCTTTTGATATTGGTTTTGAGAAACTTCTTAAAGAAATATCTGAAGCTCCTCCTTATCAGTTCCAGGTGTCAGTGAAGGAAGAAACTCCCGAGAAGGAGCCCTCACAGTCAGAGCAGGCCAGGTTCTTGGGGGCAGTGCCCCATTTTTACTGGGCAGCCTCAGCAGCTTCTGAAATGAAAGTTAAAAGTAATGGTTTGGAATCTCAAGTCAACCAATGTAATAAAGTATTGAGAGAAGATGAAGCTGTGACTGATTTATTAGTAGATCTTTGTGATTCTGAAAGTAGGGTTGAGATCTCTGGAACCCCACAACTTTGTGTGGATCATGACATAGAGACCATCAAAACTGTAAAACCCCCAGAGGACAGGGACAGGAAAAGTGAGGTTGCAGGGAGACAAGGGGCTTTGCAGGAACCTGGCTTCGAAGAGGCTCCTGTAGCAATTGGTTTGTCTAGGAATAGGCAACCCATTCCTCTCCTGACGAACAAAGAAAATCCTACAAAAACCAGTAAAATTGAATTGATTCTGGCGTCACCATATAAGAGACAAGTGAAAGAGGAAGAAAAACCTTTCTCTAACTCTGATTTTTCAGATGGAAACATTGGTTCTAACGTGGAAAGCTGGAGAAATACCTCCAGTGAGCATTTTAAAATTTTTAACTCATGATGAGTGTGCTTTATGGAATGCTAAAGTAAAGGATGATATTATTTTAATTGAGATAAATTCAGTATTCCCAAATGGTGCTAAATTCTTCTTCCTTCAGTTCTCCTGCACCTTTCTTCATAAAAAACATTTTATTTATATTCTTGAATCAAATGAGTTCCACAGAAACAGCTTTACTACAAAGCTGTTTCATAGTCTGACTTCTCCTTAATCTACCTATAGAATTTTTAGGTTTCAAAAATATTTTTAAATTAACTTTTTGAGTTTAGAAAGCACCTTTAAAACATTTAAGCCAGTTTTTCTCCTGAAAGTAATTTCTTTGTTAATTGGCAGTCCTCACGGAAGTCTCTAGTAAGATTTGTGACAAGCAAGTGCCACAAATGGGCACAAATTTCCCATTAAGGAGCAATATTGTACTGGAGTGGTAGCTAAATACCGGGGACAAAGTACAAGGCTGGAAATTTCCTTCTCTCAGATTCTTGTGCTGTGATGTTTTTGTTGCCACTCTCTCCCTCTCATTTTTGATTATCTGCAGAATCTTCCTGTTCTAGAGTATGACTTTGGTCAGATAACTTCACCTGATTCCACCTAAGGACATTGCCTGGCCTGCTGCATTTCTTTGGTTTCAGCCTTGGCTAAGTTGATGAAGATCTTAATTGATCTCCACATTCATCTCAGTGGACTTGGGGGTACTGGTTTCAGCCAGCCTGTAAAACACAGGACTTGATTCAGTTTCTATTCAATCAATACATGGGCATTTTAGCAGAGAAACCTCATAGCAAATAGGAATAAGATGTTACCTGGTTAGAATGGTGAAATGGTAGAGGATGCTTTCTAGCTGGGACATTTTAACCAAAGTTGCACAACTGGTATTGGTCACCTTTCTTGTAGTTTAATAGAATTTGTCATTTTCTAGCTCCCTTCAGTCTCAATGAAAATAGATAAGCTTTTCTGAGTGGCTTGCTTGAGAGGTTTGGGTTCCTCTGTAAGTAGCTGTAGGGTCTCTTCTCGAACACTGACCAAAGAATCCACCTTTAATCCTGTATACTCAGCTTGAAGACTCTTTAACAAATGTGGCTGATAAAAATTGGAAATTGAAACACCAGTCTCTGAAATCAGACATATACAAAAATAAAGCCAGCACGTAAAACTTGCTGTGGTAGACTCTTACTAAACTGCCCCATGAGTTACTAAGGTAAACCAACCCACAGGAGGAGAAGGGCTTGCAAATTTGCACTTACTTTAGGGAGTATCACCTAATGTGAACAGCCATGCTTATAGTATACCAGCATAACTGATTGAACATAAAAAAGCTATCTAAAAAAGAAATAATGTTAAATAAGCATGTAGATTTAACTTGATTACCTCTGTAAAGAAAAAAATATTTAAATAAAAAATAATCACCTAGACAGAGCCCAAAGAAGATATTTTAAAATTATAAGACTATTAAGAGGTATAAAATGGTTCAGTTGTGGTTTTATATACTTTAATATAAATTAATATTTTACAACAAACTGTAGTGAGGATAGGGTAGAGTTGGAAAAGAACCTAACTACAAGGGTACCATAATCTTGGGGAGCAACCTAACACTGAGATCTTAATTGATCTCCACATTCATCTTGTGGCTGATCTTTTAACCAACCAAGACCTCAATTTACTCCTTTAGGAGAAAACAGAAAGAGGTTCCATGGTCAGGTACTTTTGGAAATGCTGGGAGATTATGCTCATTATTAGCATATTAAAGTCTTTGACAAGGTCTGCAGTAAGAAACCTTTTAAATTTGAACAAAGAACATCCCAAATCTAATTCATTTTAGAATCCATTTGCTGTGGAATGTATATTAACATTGAGCAGAACTGGTATGCATTTCAGAAAATTATTATCTAGAGAAGTGTTTCTTATTAATATATTTATTGATTCATTAATTGAATCATTCATTGATTCAGCAAATATTTTTGAATTGCTCATTGCTGGCCCCTGTTCTAAGCACTGAGAACGCAACAGTGATAAATGTCAGTACTTAGGCCTGAGTTGATCTATGAAGAGGTTGTCAAAATGGAAAAATTAAGGACTGTCTAGAGTTTTTTTTTTTTTTTTGTAAAGTTAGATGTGTTCAAGAACTGTTCTTATTCTGAGGTTATGTCCTTTTTCTTTTGGTTCTAAAATGCCTTTCCTTTTATAAAATAAAGGAATTAGTAAATGATAGGACACCTCCCCCAACATACACTCGTTAAAATGTCTTACTAAAATAGAAAGTTGACTCTCTCATGTTATTTCCTGGCATTTCATTGGAAATTTTACTAGATCATGAAACCCAGAAAGCCTACAACCACTGAGCTGGAGAACCCACCCATCTGTGTACCCAATTATACACATATGTTAAACATCTGAATCCCATCTTCTATGGTTTTCAATGAGTTTTTTTTTTTTTAATGCTTCTAAAATCATTTCATGGCTGTCTTCAAAAGCTAGAATGTTAAATGGGAAGATTCAAAATGTGGCACAAAACAAATGTGCCTAAAATAGAGATGTAGAGAACTAAGAGATCATATTTTTATTAATGTGGTAATCTTATTTCTATATTGTTTATGTTTATGAATATTAGTTTTAAAAGGGCATATTAATAGTGGTGAAATATTTTTCTGTGAAGTAAGTGCTTCTTAGAGTAAATAAAAATAGGCTTATAGCATAATATCTCCTTTCAACCTACCATTTCAATGTCCATTTGTTAGAGGGTTTTTTCTTTTTGTATCGTGCAGCGTTCATCGGTTTTGTCTTATAACAGGTTCAGAAGAAGAACCCAGTGCTGTTTTGAAAACTTTGGAAAGGAGTGCTGCTAGGAAAATGCCTTCCAAAAGTCTAGAAGACATTTCATCAGATTCATCAAGTGAGAATAAAGCTTGCTCCACTGTTCATGCCCATCTAAGTTTAAAAATGCATACGTGCTCTCCTGTGGCCTCGCTGCATGCTATTGTGCATTGAAACCCCTAATGTGGGGATTAATAGATGAGAATAACCTTTCTGAAGTGTGCTGAAGAGGCTCAACATAAAGTGGCTGAAACTTCTGAAATAATTCATGAAGTTTGATTACTAGAACACTAGATTTCCTTGAATTGAAGAATCCCAATGTGAGTGTTTAAAACTCAAGTGCAGTGAGTTTTAAAGGATTATGGTAACTACTAATACTAGTGAACATCATAGTTATAGCTAACATTTATTGAGTATTACTTGCCAAAATGTGGCTAAGAATTTTACACGTATTATCTCATTTAACCAGCATGAGCAATCCTGTGAAAGATGAATTATTATTATCCCCATTTTATAGATGAGGAAAATGTGGCTCACAGTGGTGAAATAACTTGTTTAGCATCACACAGCAGACCCAAGACTCAAAATTAACAGACTACTATCAAGAGCATTTATGAAGGGACTATGTTATATATGACAGTGTTGGGTGTCTGATGAATTTCACTTGGTAATGGAGTTGAATTAGTCCCTGGATTTAAGGACTTTCCTTTTTCTTTCATCCCTTGTTTTCTATTCACACATTTCTTTTGGATACTGGAATTATAAGCCCAAAGACAACCTAACATGCAAGACTTTAGGCACATTATTCCCACTGGCTGCTGCTTTAATTGGTGAAGGACTTCTTGAGCACTAACAGAAAGCATAATGTATAAAGGGATTTGTGTGCCAGACAAATGGATTTAGAAACTATGACTTCTAGGGGTTTTGTTCTTACTGTTTTTAAGCTAAGATACATCCCTGGGATTGCAGATGGTTATGAGAAAAATTATCAAGTGAAAGTTAACCACTGCCAAACTCATTCGATTGATCATAATTGACCATTGTCATGTTTAGAATGTGTTTCACGTGTCTGTAATTGAGACTAAGAAGTCAGAATTTAGGAAGGAAAAGAAAAAGCCACTCCATCAAACAGTTTCTAAAATTCAGAAATTCCCAGGGCTCTGAAGACAATAATACCGATTTGGAATGCAGTCTTAACCCTCCTGACGATCTTGGAATCTTAGAGTTGGAAGGGACCTTGAAATTCACCCATTTCTGCCTCCCCGCAATGCAGGAATTCCCTCTAAAGCCTCCTCAACAGGTGGCCAACCCCCACAGCCGCCTGAGTGCTTCTAGAGAAGACTGAGTCCAGAGTCCAATCCTTTGTTGAACAGCCCCAATTATTCTTCCTTACGTTGGTGATGGACCCTGACGTGGGGGAAAAAAAAAAACCTCAGCAACAATTGTTCAATTTAGCAAACCTCTTGCCTGTGAAGCATGGGGCTATTTCCATGGTGCAGCTTTAAAGTACTCAGGAATGTGTAGGGTTAAAAAAAAAAAAAAGAAAGAAAACACCATCAGCTGACCGGTATTCCTGCACGCTCCTTTCTAAATACCGATACCCACTCTCACAGTATCCTGCCAAGATTCCACTTAGCAGCTGGTCCCCAGTTACATCTCTTCAGTTGACTTCCCAAGCAAGCCTCCCAGAGGCATACGCAAATGATGATGCACACACACAAATATTTGTTAATGACCATGGATTTGGGAAGGTGTTAGTCATGGCTAGCATCTTACCCTTTACAGAAGAATAGAGAGGCTGTTGCAGCCCTGTGCTTTCTCCTGCTGCTGGCCGATTGCTTGCTCTGAGCTAACCCTCCAACCCTTGGGAGTCAGTGTGCAGCAGTGTGCTGATGTGAGCTGCATCGGGGCTGAAATGGGAGCTCTCGCTATGGCACTGGCTCAAGTAGCTAATCTAAAGAGAAAGTATTTTGGGGAAGACATCTTGGTTGCACCCCTCACTGCATCTTGACTAATTGCTTCCAACTCCGGGGGCTTCCAGGGACAACCTCATTGTTCTTTTCTCTCTAAGGGTCAGCCATGTTAACCATTTGTTAATTTCTCCTGAACAGATCAAGCAAAAGTAGATAATCTGCCAGAAGAATTAGTACGTAGTGCTGAAGATGGTAAATATCTTTATGTATTTGCATGTCTGTCTGTGTATTAAGTTCTGGGGTGATTTGGGCAGTCTCCGGGACGCAGCTGTTGGATAAATAAAAGAACGTCATTTGCCACTATATGTGCTGAATAGTGCCTAAGTTGTTATAAAACGATTTTGAAGTGGTGCATTTAATACCGTTTGTATTCTTAAGGCTTCTGCTGGCGATACTATTGTGAGGATCTCATCAGAGATCCTTAGGAAGCAAGTGTTTCTATAAATAGGAAATTGTATTCATGGGTATGAGCTGATTTTTGCTGCTCTGACTTGCAGAACTCATTGTGAGTGAGTGGAGTGGGTTCCTGGGTTAAGTTATTTTCCTGTGTTTGATTCTCAAGTCTCAACATTATTTAGATCTCTCTGGGCACAACTGGTACAGCCTTAAGTTCAAAGGAAAGGGCCCCAGAACAAGGGCAGAGAACCCTGCCTCTGCTTATGTAAATAACTAAGTATAGACTGAGGGTAAGATTGTTTCTGAATATAATGGAGTCAGAAGATCTAGAAGCTTGTCAATGGATCAGGTATTATTTGGTTCAGTGATAAAATGAACATGATAATAGTTCCTTGGTAGGGGGAGGAATGGAAATGAGTGTGATTTTTATAGTTCATTTATGAATTTATGCAAATGTATAATTTATATTTGTATGCTGGATTCTTTTTTTTGCTGAATTACCTTCTCTATAATAAAAATACGTACTCAGCTTTTCTATATAAATGCAGCAACAGAGGTCCTCGAAGGTCATTCTTTTATGTAATGGTTTTGTCTTTCTCATTTTATATTTACAGTGACCTCATCGAAGTTGATGGGGCAGAGATTTTCATCTTCATTTTGCAGATAGAAGCTCAGAGAAATTAGACGACTTTTCTAAGATTCTGTAGCTAGTCTGTTAGTGGGAGGACAGGGAATAGAATCTCAGCTTCATTACTCCTAGTCCAGTGCTCCTTCCCATTTTCCATGCTGTGGTTTAGTGAATTAAACGAAAGATGCCACATACCTCCTTTGTTGGATCTTAGATTTTTAGTTGAATAGGAGACCTTAAAGAGGGTAATGAAGACTCACATTGGGGAATGGATGAAAGCAAGCTGAAAACCTGCTCTTTCAGTTGTGAAACTGACATTTGAGCTTTACTTTTATGTCTCTTTAATCCTTCTGTTAAAATGGTATTTATTCTCAATGTTGCCCTCCTGGATTAGATCAAAAAGCAGATCAGGAACCAAATACAAATGAATGCGTACCAGGAAGTGAGTAGCAGGATCTTTCTCACAAATGACTAAATGTTCTCTGCATAGTGTTTGTTAAATATACTGAAATAAACTAACCCCATTAATAATACAGCATTTATTATTGCTACTAAACTCCTGCAGCCTGCAAAACTATTTCATTATGATAAGGGTTTTATTAAAAACATTTTACTATTATCTGTATTGAAAGAATAATTTATGGTTTCACTGCAAGAGAGTTATATGTTATATATATATAACATATATTTAATATATAAATGTTACTGCTGAGTATTGTACTTTTGTCAGTTTCTCTGCTTTTTAAGTCTTTGCTTAAAATCAAGTTGGCACCTTCTGATTTCATTTGTTACAGTATGGTCTTAAGTATTAGATCTCTTGTGGCCTCTATACAAAACTGTAGATATGAAGCAATTTATAACTTATTTGAACCTAAGAAAGAACTGTACTTTGACAGTATGTATATGGTTCTATATGCTTCTTGACATTTCCATAAAAGCAAATTTTATTAAGTCCGGGGTTTAAACTCTGAGATTCCAAACTGGACTCGAATAGTAAATATTCATGTCTAAAGTCTAAGACAAGTGAACATTTGAATCTAAGAAGTAAATGTACACTTGTGGTAACTAATGTCCATCAACTAATTCATATCCATTGCCAAGCAAAGATAATGTTTATTTACTCTTTTCTGTTCAGTCTTAAGATTGTGCTACTTAGCTGTGACTAGTATCTTAAGGACAAATAATGGATTAAAGAGGTGCTTATGGGGCCTAGCAAAGCATGCAGGAATGTGTGTGTGTGTGAGTGATTTCTTAGGTTTAGCTTCCTGGTTTCACTTGATTTCATAAACCTAGGCACTAGAGCTATGAAGATAATGTTATATATGCCTACCCTCAGGTCCACAATATTTGTAATAATAATTTCCCATTAGTCTTTGGATGTGCTAATAGGCCTTAGGGAAACAGCTAAATGAAGGAGCCATTAGATAGAGAAAAAACGTGCTGATGATGCTACAAGTCGGTGACATGTAAAATGAAATCTGAAACTTTGTTCATGAGGTCTTCCTGCTAGCAGGGAAGGTGCTTGAGCTTTGGTACATGACTTGACAAATTCTTAAGAACTACCTAGAAAAGAAGACAGTCCAGGCTATGGCCCTTGAGAGTATGTGCTGTCTACTGCAGAGAAAACAAGACTTCTGCCACTGAGGGGTGTTAGAGGCTTTTCTAGTTGCTTTTGAACTGGTATATACTTAAGTCTGGGCATCTTATTTTATCTTGCTATATTTTCTTCAAAATTTATCCTGAGGAGTGAAAGCAAAACATACATAGACATACGTGTCTATATAATCTGTATCTTCATTCATGACCTCCTAATTGGCTTAGTTATTGGTCAAGGCAAATGGGCTAATCATGTGCTGAACTCTGGGTAATTAATTTCTCTCTTTTTAGTGATATTTTCCAAAATGACTCTTAGTGCCGTTTCACTAGTGAAGAGTATATTCTTATCACAAAATCAAATGCATGGTCATAAAACATAAGTAACTAAAGCCCATAAGTCTAAAATTGACTACATTCGAATAAGGGGTATAATTGAATTTGACCCTTATAACATCATCTAACAATAAACTTTGAAAATAATAGGGAGCAATGTTATAACAAAAAAATGTTTACATTATTATTGGACCATATTGTGGGACCTAATCTTACACTGCTATCAATATAACTCACACCATACGTGCCGATACACACACACACACACACACACACACACACACACACACACACACAATTGTTTAATGGGAAGTGATTAAAGTGGGTTTCATTCTAGTAAGACACCGTAAGGATATTCTGATGTACATTTACCTTTGTGAGCCTACAGCTGTGTGAACAAGGATATATTTTATATGTGTAGCTCAATTTTCAGTGTTTTTCTCATTAGATTTATTTTAACTAAAGATGAATTTAGCTAATGTTTAGGACTGAATTTGGGTGTTTTGAGTCATACATAGAAATATGATTTGATTTTTATCTATTTTCCGAATATCTCTTTTAACAATAAAGCCAAGTTAATATATTGTGTTCATGATATAATTTAAAGATTCTCTCAGGTATTTATTTGATTTGAAAATACATATACAGAGCTTACTATGTGCCAGGCACTGTTCTAACTGCCTTGAAACATTAACTCATTCGTCAAAAGAGCTATGATTCACCATAAGAAAAGCTTAGACATCACAATTCTTAGACAAAGGAAACAGTTTTCTAACTAGAGATATGCAAATTAAGATTAGAATTTATCCTTTTATTGTGCCTTCCACATACACTTACTTTTTTTTTCATACATATATTTTTTATATCAGATAGAAGACTTTCTATATTATAAAGGAGACATGCTACATTTTCATATTAAATTCTTAGAATACCCTAACTTGAACCATTCTAAGTTGGCCTGGGTATATTGAGAATTCTCTGAGTCAATGAGTATCTAATTTCTATTTTCAAAAAATAAATTTTAAAGTATATTCTTTCATAATTTGGAGTAAGAAACACTATCAAAAAAGTAATCCCCATGCTCACTAAACAAACAAACCTACTCTTAAACACTCAATGACGAGGACGCTTTTATTATTGAGTTGTGTGCAAAAATCTTTACTGTCCAGATGAAATAGTTTGCAGCCTGCAGCATGTTAGTAATATATCTCAGGGAGATGAACCAATAAATTACCTTGTGGTTTGAAATTGTGATGTGAAAAAATAAATTAAACCAATGCACATTGACAGTATACTTTAATTCAAGTCCAGCTCCAGTTCAATAAAAACTAGTGTTTTTAAAATTCATTTTCATTTAAATTTTGTATTTGGTTCAACTCCTTGCTAGTTCTCTTTATATATAATTTCTAAAAACTGCATGTTGTTTACCTCCTGATCTTCTGCATGTGAACTACTGTACCTTTAACCTTTTTACAAAATATGTCTGTCCATAGATGAAAGAAAAGTGTTTTCAACTTGTGCCTAATGTTGTCTGACATTTGTAAGAATAATTTTGAAATGGAAATGCCGCTGTTTAGTTTCCACAGTGCCTACACAACCTGATAATCAGTTTTCCCACCCCGACAAACTCAAAAGGATGAGCAAGTCTGTTCCAGCATTTCTCCAAGATGAGGCAAGTTTGTCTATTGTACCTTCAGAAAAATGGAGCCAGATAGGGGATTTGCTATGCCATGCTTGGTATGTTTGTATTCTGCTGTGGCAGAGACCAAAGAGGTCAGCAGGACTGACCCTTGCCTTCCAAGTCAATAGAGGTAGTATTGTTGATCCTGGAACAAGGCAAGGCAGGTCTCACTTGACTCAAACAGTAACTCTTTTTGATCAGTGAAATTGCATAGATTTGGGAATATGATTTTTGTTTCAAAGCAAGTACAAAATAAGAAAGCTAGGCAGAAATATGTTGGCATGAACTAATTACACCTCTGCAGTTTAGAGGAGAGTCCATTTGTGAAAGCTCAGTCTAGGTTGCATGACTAGCTTGAAAGCATTTGTTAAAATAATAACATAAAAATGACACAGCACGCTTTGAGTATCTGCTGGGTGCCAGGTACTTTACATATATTACTTCACTTAATCCTTCAACAACCCTGGGAGGTAGGCACCATCACTATTGCCATATGTTACAGGTGAGGAAATTGAAACTAAGAGGTAAAGTAACCTCACTCAGCTAGAAAGGGGTTGAACCAGGACTGAAGCCCAGAGCTGACTCCCATGCTGTTAACCACTATACTATAGTGTCTCAAGTAAGAATATGACTATTATCTAGGTACTATTCATTGAGTACCTAGTATGTGCCAGACACTTAATCATTCTGATATCCAACTCTCACTAACTATACGTGGTAGGTACTATTTCTCCATTTTATAAAATAAGAAAGAGCCTCATAGAGCTTAAGTAACTCTCCCAGAGTGCAACAGCTACTAAAAATTAGATCTAAGACTTTAACTGAGGTCCTTTGACCTACTTAAGATCCCATGTTCTTGCAGTCAGGTATTTAGAAGCCTGAGCTTTGGAGCCAGACATTCCCCATCCTGGCTATGATGCTAATTTTCTCTGTGATCGTGGATAAAGTCTTTATCCTCCCTGAGTCTGGTTTCCTAGAAACTACCACGTTAGGTTTCAAGGAATCAGTGGGGTAATGCAGAAAAAACACACAGCACAATGCCTGGTGCATAGTGGTACCTGGTAAGTGTTAACTGCTATTTGTGGTTTTGGTCTGATTTCTGATGGTGAAATAAAAGGTTTCATTCTCAAGTATTCTTTCAGCAGATGGAATGTTAAGGAAAGCTCTGGGCTTAATATTAAAAGCCCAAAGCTTTCCTTAATGTAAATTACATTCCCCCACCCCCACACACTGTCCTGGATACCCTTCTATCCATTCTTGGCCCTTTAATGAACCATATCTGCAAATTTTCAGCCCTGGCATATGTTTAAGAACCCACATTACAATTTCCTTTGGAAAGAATCACTCATTCTTTGGAACTAACTCATTAACTGGAAGCCAAGGGTAGGCACCCCGTGGAGTTCCTGTGGTTTTATGCCTTCGTAGATCTGCTTTGGTCTTAGGCGATGATATGGATGAACCTTATAATAGTTCGAGAGCAAATTACGTCAGTTTCTAGTTTTTTATCTTTCTCTTCTCTTCAGTTTTAACTTGCTATCTCATAGCTCTGCACAGAAGAGTTCAAATCATTTGGGTTTGTGTACCAAAGATGCCAGAATTCAGTTGTGTCATTTTCATGGAGTGCATGAGATTGAACTGGGTACTAAAAGAAGTGGAAATGAAATCAGGCCTTGCTCATTTGTCCACTGTCCCTTTGAGGCTGATCATCAGTCACATTTGTTGAATGCCAGTTACATGAAAAACACTGTTCCAGATCAACAAGACAGGGTCCCATCCTTCCAGTGATTCCCTAATGATCTGATATACTGGGTAGAATATAGTATGTACAATAACAGAGGGAAATGAATTGTAAGTATGTGGGGAGAGAATGTGACAACGGAGATATTTAAAAGGTATGTATTTTTTTTTAATCCTTGAGATTTTTAATCCTTTTCTCATCCCTGTGAGTCATTGATTTTGTTTTTCTTTAACTCCTTTATTAATCTGCATTACAATTGTCATCCATTACATTGATGCATAATTGCATGGTGCTGGTATATGCTGGCATGAACTAACTACTCCTCGATAAAGGCGTTCCCTAACCCCTGGAGCCACTGAACTGCTCCATAAGCTCTCTAACCCCAAAAGGAGCTCATTCTGAATCATGAGTTTTTAAAGCTACTGTCTAATAAACTTTAGATCTAAATATAATAAAATTTGCCACTTTTCTTTCTTGTCCCAGGTAAATATTCCCTGGGACATATTTAAAATAAGTACTTGTATCTTATGGCTACTTTTTTAAGAAATGTGTTAAAATCTAATAATCCTAGCACTCTGGGAGGCCGTTTGAGCTCAGGAGTTCTAGACCAGCCTAAACAAGAGCGAGACCCCGTCTCTACTAAAAATAGAAAGAAATTAGCTGGACAACTAAAAATATATAGAAAAAATTAGCCAGACATGGTGGCGCATGCCTGTAGTCCCAGCTACTCAGGAGGCTGAGGCAGAAGGATTGCTTGAGCCCAGGAGTTTGAGGTTGCTGTGAGCTAGGCTGATACCATGGCACTCTAGCCCGGGCAACAGAGTGAGACTCTGTCTCAAAAAAAAAAAAAAAAATATGAGTAGAATGTATAATTTAATATAATTCCCTATAGCAACAAAAAGATAAGCACAATAACACTATAGAAATAAATAAGAGATGGTTTAACATTTTAAATATATATATATGAAAATAATCTGTAGTTGAAACAGATCAGATTAGCATTTCTTTTTCCTAGTTTAACAGCATCTCAAGTAAAAGATTTGATTTTTAGAGAAGCAAAGGCTATGTTACTAATAAGAGGAATTGAGCATGACATTTTATGTTTTGACAGATCTTAGACTTTTATTGTCTGAGTAAAGTTAATTTCTCATATATATCAATAAAGTTGACATAATATGTAATATTATGACACAATATTATGACAGGTGACAAAAATATGTAATATTAAAAGAGTGACCAAAAGCTCACAATAGTGCTGTCTTCTATAGCACCTTGGGAGCCACCTTGTATGTCAAAAAAATCACTTTGTTATTTTGGTAGCTAAGCCAGCCCTCCTCCTTAGATGAGGTCCAATGCAGATCTCCCACTCCATCCAGAATCTGATTCCCTGGCAATTAGCACTAGCATCCTTTGACCTGGGGAAACATCATAGATCAGTGGATACCAAAATATTATCTTTGTCTAAACATTGTTTCTGACTGTAACTCATTCTGAATTTAAATACTATGCATATTATATGATGTTTTGTAGAGTGATGACAAAGAAACAGATACAGCATCAGAAAGCAGTTACCAGCTCAGCAGACACAAGAAGAGCCCAAGCTCTTTAACCAATCTTAGCAGTTCCTCTGGCATGACGTCCTTGTCTTCTGTATGTAAACAAAGGCTCCATGTTAATATCTCTCCACATCTCTGAACCTCTCTCGGACATGCTTATGCTCATTGTAAAACAGCCTCCTGTTGTATTTCTCAGATTCCAAGTGCACAAGCATTTTCTCTAACCCATAATTAGCTTCTGGCTAGCTAAATCCACCTTTTTTCCTTTCATTCTTTTCTTTTTCTTTGTTTTTAAGAATATAATGGTTCATATCCATTATAAATGTTTGTGGATTTTTTGGATGTAAGTACTTCAGAAATAAATCTAAATTGCCAACAAGATGAACCACTACATTTTTCTGTGTAAAAATTGAGTTAACTATTATAAAATCTGCTTATATCAGATATGCTTTTGTATACTGCTTGCAGGCATAGAATTGTACCTCTCTTTTAGTAAGCCTAATGAATAAATGTACTCATTCACATAAAAGAATGAGAGGTGATTCTTTGTCTTATAGAAGAATTCAGAACAGGGTTTTAAAAGGAAAACTCCCTAAGTATAGTTACTCAGATGTGACTTAAGAGAATTTAACAAATTTGACTTTACATAGAACTTCTTGCATAAAATGAGACAGTTCTGTGTGCATGTATAATAGTATATGTGTAGAAATAATATGTAAATATATCCACATATACTTATTGAAATATTTCTCTGATACACATACATTATCTCACCAGGTATGATAAACAAATTAAAAAGCTGTGCTTAAATTCTTACCAGCCTTGCATTTCTGAAAACTTAAAAAAAAATCTATTTAAATTGAGTTTCTGCTGATAACAGTTTAATGTCTGCCCTTGGGGAGGCTTTAAATTCCCTTTATCAGTCATCCATTTTCTACCCTTCTTGATCTCTAAAAGCCCCTGGCTTGGTAAGCATTTCCCTAGATTCAGTGGATAGGTAACATGGTAAAATTCCTTTTTAGTGCCTTGGAAATTTGATAGAGCAATGTGTCACTGCGATTTGAGTTTCTGGGTTCTCACATCCTCTTTCTTTAGGATTTTAAATCCTAAGCGTGCCTAAAAATGGAAATTTGAATGTCATCTAGCATAAAATCACCCTGCTTTGAAATGAGCCATCATCTAAATAACTTTGCATTTCACTTTCATCTATGTCTTATAGGGGAAATTAAAACAAACAAACAAAAAAAACCTCTAGTCATGTATATCATGACAGGTTGTGTTGACATGTCTTTGTGCTGTATTAAATTAATTGCTTTTATATGCAAGCTAGAGAAATAATGCCAAGCAAGGATTATATTAGTGATCCTTTTGCTGGGTTCAAGAATGAGATAGAGACAAACATTATATATTTCTGATGATTCCAGGTGAGTGGCAGTGTGATGAGTGTTTATAGTGGAGACTTTGGCAATCTGGAAGTTAAAGGAAATATTCAGTTTGCAATTGAATACGTGGAGTCACTGAAGGAGTTGCATGTTTTTGTGGCCCAGTGTAAGGACTTAGCAGCAGCAGATGTTAAAAAACAACGTTCAGACCCGTAAGTACATTTTGGAGTCACCTACTTTCTTTTAGTTCTCAAACTGTTGATGTTGTAGGAATTGGGAAGGAAAAAAAGTAAACAAAAGGGGAGGGTATGTGTATGACTGTTAAAAGGAATGTTTGAAAAGTTAGAGGAAAATGCTATTTTATTTACTTAAATTCATATGCCAAACATTAAATTATAAAAATCACAGAGAAACACAGAATGTTTCAACTTGGAAAGGACATTTGGGGTCATCCAGTTCCAGTTCCTTCATTTTATACATAAGGAAACAAGGGCCAGAGAAGATAAGTAATCCATGTATATAAATTCAGATAGCCTCAAAATGAGGAATAAGGGCTTGAACCCCTGTATCTTTCTGTCATACTCAAACTTTTTCTAGAATTAGGGACATGTCGGGCATAGGTCATAATGTTCAGTGGTATAAAAATAGTTAAGATTCTAGAGTGAGGCAGTTTCCATTTTAAAATCTTATAGAAGAACTGTAGGGGAAATTACTAATTTATTTTTTAAATCACAGGTTTGATTGCATTTTAGTTTATTTCCAAAAATTGAGTGGTAATTCCCACTTATCCCTATGCAGAAGTCTCACTGTTAATTATTTTCTGAGACAAGCCCAATCCTTTTTTCTTTTATTCTTATAAAAACAGCTGAGGTCAACATCCTTTATTTTTTAACATTAAATCTGGCTTAATTAGGGGTATACTAAGATTAATTTTTTCCAAAAGACAGTAACAAAAACTTTTTAAAAATACTTAAAAAATACTTCAGCCACCAAAGCCTTTTCTCAATAGGATACAAAGCAGCATAATTAGCTCTGTGTTGGAGATCTGTTTTCTGCCCCTCCCCATCCCTACATATTAATTAAGGCCAAAGGAAAAAAGGAATTCAGGAAATTCCCCTTGAAAATCTTCAAAACAATATTAAATGATCAATTTCACTAAAATCCCTCTAAATGTTTAAGTATAAAGGTGTTGGTGGGAGCATTTGTTACTGCTTTTCTCAGCATCATGAAATAATTATTTCTGCTGTCAGCTTTCAATGAATTTTTAAAAGTAGAAGTGGAAACATTACTTTTATTTTCTGAATTTTTTTCTATTCAATTCTCTTTCTTAGATATGTGAAGACCTATTTGTTATCAGATAAAGGCAAAATGGGCAAGAAGAAAACACTTATAGTGAAGAAAACCTTGAATCCTGTGTATAACGAGATACTGCGGGTAGCTATGAGCTCTCTATGTAGGAAAATCCTAAATGGTGACCTATGCATTTAAATAGCCATGTCTTCTGGGGTAATATCTCTGCAGGATAAAGTCAGTCACCAAGACTGGAGAAGGAAATGAATAAAATGTTCTCATACTCCGTTTTGTACGAGACAGTGCACTATGAATATTATATACATTATCTCATGCACTCCCCATACATACCCTGCCAAGCCAGCATTATCTGCCACCCTCACAGATGAGGCAAATGAAGCTTAGAGGAATAAAGTAACTTGCTCAAGAATACACCGCTGATAAAGTTGAGCATTGCAACCAGAATGATCTAAAAGCACAATTCTGATCAGGTTGTTTCTCTGCTTAAAATCTTTTAGAATTCCCATTACTCTTGGGGAGTCAAGTCCATCTTTTTTAACATGCACACTAGTTCCTTCACAACACTTAGGGGTAAAGGTTGTCCTTTGCCCCTAAGTGTTCCTGCTGTTTGCTGCCTCAATAACCTTGCTTTATAATAGGCTATATTTAACACTCAGCACTTTAGTCATTTAATTGTCTTCCTTGTCACTAAATTGTAAGTTCCATGAAGGCAGGGACCAACTCTGTGTTGTTTTTAAACTGTGTGCCTTTGGGCAAATGACTTACAATGTCTGCACATCAGATCTGCAAAGAGGGCTAGTGGTAGTTTTTGGATCTGCAAAAGGGAGATGATAATAGCACTTATTTAACCACCTCAGTAGTTGTGAACGTTAAAAGAGTTAATATGGATCAATAAGGATTAGCACACATTAAACATTTAATAAATCTTGATTCTTAGTCTAGGATAGGCACTCAAAAGATGTTTATTGGAAGGATAAATGTAAGGACAAATGAATGGAAAGTATACCTGGCTCATATTTCATTTCTTCCCCCAAACTGCATCATGCCGTCTTAGTCATGACTAACATTATATGAAACTAAAAATATAAGAAGTGTTGTTCATCCTCTTTTTCTGAAAACTCTGTCCCAAGTATTTGATCATCCTCTGGAAAAAGAAGCAGCAATTAAATCAACTCTCAGTCATCCATGGGTGAATTAACTGCCTGTGGATTTTCTGTAGCAAGTTTTAAATTACTGTTTGACTATGATAGACCCTAGAACCATAGCTATTTCTGTGTCAGCTACTTCAACCCTATACTCAGGAAAAGCCAGCTAATTTAAATGGTAAACTCAGAGAAAGGCCTGTCTGCTACAACCAAAATGGACATTCAAGTAGTACATCATAAAGCCAAATAGAGATTATTTTTAGATTAGAAGTACTATTATCCCTTCCATGAATACATATAATCAAGGATTGACTACATTTGAGATGAAAAACTGTTAGAATGCCAGATCTTTTCTACTTGACCATATGAAGCAGAAAAAAACATGTTTATTTTTTTTATTTTATTTTATTTTTTTTGGAAAAATACCCTGTCCTTGTAGAATATAGGCAGGGAGGAGGTGTTCATATGTGGGGGCAGATTATGTATGGTAACTCTCTACTTTCTGTTCAATTTTGCTGTGAACCTAAAACTGCTTTAAAAAATAAATTCTATTTTTAAAAATACCTTGTTCTTAGGTAGAAAACAGAGAACTTGATTTTTATTTTTAGACTAAATTTGATTCATGTTATATCTAGACTAAAAATATCCAGCAAAAATTTAATACTTGGCTTTTGTTTTTAGAGAGCTATTACCAGCTATGATATTTGAGCTTTGGTTTGCTTTTCCAGAGGGGGAAGAAAATCAGCTTTGTAAAAGGTGGATTTGAGCTCTTTGAAATAAGACACTTAGAATAAGATGACTTTGCAATATTTTTGAGACTTGAAACCTAACAGATAAGAAAATCTGATCTACACAAATGACTTTTCCTCTCTATGTCATAACTTTGGCATAAAGAAATGTTATTTATCATTCTAATTTTCTTCTTTGAATTTCAGTATAAAATCGAAAAGCAAATCTTAAAGACACAGAAGCTGAACCTGTCTGTTTGGCATCGGGATACATTTAAACGCAATAGTTTCCTAGGGGAAGTAGAACTTGATTTGGAAACATGGGACTGGGACAACAAACAGAATAAACAATTGAAGTGGTACCCTTTGAAGCAGAAGGTGAGTTCAGAGTTTTTTGTTTGTTTATTTCGTTGGTTTGGGGCCTGGTGTATAGGAAAAAGCTTAATTGCATTTAATTCAGAGTGCTGATCTGTAGTTTAGGATCATTTTAAACATTATTTAACTTGTACATTCAGTGAAGAAAGGATAAAAATTATAGGGAGAATGTTTAAACCATTTAACACAAATGTTTCAGAGACTTCGGGAAGGTCATTTAAATAATTCACTGCTTTGAAATTTGGGACTTACTTTTAGTGAATTATATGGCCAAATTTTGATGAGTGTTCCGTGTGTGTCACTTTTTTTTTTTTTTTTTTTGAGACAGTCTTGTTCCGTCGCGTGGTCTACACTGCAGTGGCATTATCATAGCTCACTGTGACCTCAAACTCCTAGGCTCAAGCAATCCTCCTGCCTCAGTCTCCCAAGTAGCTGGGAGTACAGGCACGTGCCACCACGCCCAGCCTATTTTTTCTATTTTTTAGTAGAGATGGGGTCTTGCTCTTGCTCAGGCTGGCATGTGTGTCACTTGAAAAGAATGTGTATTCTATGGTTGTAGGATATAATGTTCTATATATTTATCAATTAAGTAAAAAAAAATGGTAGCTCAAATCTTTTATATCCTTACTGATTTTATGTCTGTGTACTATGAATTACTAAGAGAGATACAATTATGGATTTGTCTTTTTCTCCTTTTAGTTTTGTTATCTTTGATTCACCGTAATTTATTTTGAGGCTGTCTTATTACATATATACACATTGAGAATTGTTATACTTTCCTGATGAATTGACCATTTTTATCATTTTGAAATTTCCTTTTTTATCTCTAGTAATGCTTCTTGCCTTAAAATCTCTTAGTATAATCTTTTGGTATAGCTGTCAGCTTCCTTTTGGTTAGAAGTTTGTTTCTATCCTTTGATTTACAACATTTCTAAATGTTTATAGTTTAGGTATGTTTCTTATAAGCAATAGTTTTGATTTTTTCCCAGCCCAAAAATATTTGTCTTTTAATTGGATTATTTAGTTCATTTGCACTTAATTTAATTATTGACATAGTTGGGTCCAAATCTAATATCTTGATATTTGTCCTATTATTATTTTTATAATTGCCTTCTTTAGGATTGTTATATTATGCCATTCCATTTTTCTCTTGTATTAATATGTCAGTTACAGTTTCTTTTCATTTTTCCTTATTGTTTACTGTAGAGACTACAATATGCACCCTTGAATTAAAAAGTGTTTAACATAAATTAGGACTTTTACCACTTCCAGGACAGTAACAACCAACAACATTTTAACTCCATTTACCCATTCTCCCATCTTTTGGCAGATATTTAGTCATGTTTTGATTATATATATATTTTAAGTCCCATAGATATTATTGTTGTATACAGTGTATTCATTTAGATTTAACTGCATATTTGTCTTTCTATTGTTCTTTATCCGTTCCTGTGTCTTCATATGGAGTTATTTCTTCTGCTCAAAGACTTCCCTTTAGTTTTACTTTTAGTACATATCTATTGGCAACAGATCCTTTCAGGTTTTCTTTGTGTCATAATGTCTTTTTTACCTTAATCTTTGAAGAATATTTTTACTTTATTACTGGGTCGACAGTTATTTCTTTCAGCACTTTGAAGATGTCATTCCATTGTATTCATTTCTGTTGCAAAGTCAGCTATTATTCTTGTTTTGCTCTTTTGAAAGTTATGTGTTTTCTTTTTCCCCCCAGATTTTAGCATATTTTTCTTTGTCTTTGATTTTTAACAGTCTTACTATAATGAGCCTAGGTGTAGTTTTGTGTTTATCCTGTTTGGGATTCACTGAATTTCTTGAATCCGTGCCTTGGTATCTTTTATTACTTGGAAAATTTCTCAGAAATTATTTCTTGAAATATTGCTTTTGCCCTACTATTTTCTCCTTTTCTGGAAATTCCAATTATACATATGTTATATCTTTTTACTCTGTCCTATATGTCCCTTATGCTTTCTTCTGTTATAATCTTTTTTGCTTTATGCTTCAGGCTACTTTGTGCTAATTTATCTTTTGGTTCAATAATTTTATCTGCTATGGCAATTCCTCTGTTAAAACCATTTACAGTTTAAACCTATCTACAATATAAAAATTATATTTTTAAACTTTAGATTTTCAGCTGGGTGCGGTGGCTCATGCCTATAATCCCAACACTTTGGGAGGCCGAGGCAGGAAGATCGCTTGAGGCCAGGAGTTTGAGACCAGCCTGAGCAACACAGGGAGACACTGTCTCTACAAAGAATAAAAAAAATTAGCCAGGCATGGTGGCACATGCCTGGTAGTCCCAGCTATGTGGGAGGCTAAGGCAGAAAGGTTGGAGTTTGAGGTCACAGTGAGCTATGATAATGCCACTGTACTCTAGCCCAAGCAACAGAGTAAGATCCTGTCTCAATAAAGAAATAAAAATAAATATGTTTTAACTGTTTTGATTCCATTTCTTTCCTAAAATTCTGTATCTTAACATGACCTTTATAAATATAGCAATCAGATTTTTTTTAAAGTGTATATCTGAAAATTCCCATATCTTAAACATTTGTGTGTCTCTCATCTATTTTTTAAATCTTAATTTGATCACTTTATCCTTTGTCTTGATATGCCTGTTCATTTTTTATCACATGCAGGACGTTACATATGAAAACATTCTAGGGATAATTTGGGAGGATTTACTTTTGCTTCTGACAGATGGAATTAAGGTCAGACCACCTTAATTTAGTCTGGGAATGAACTAAATTGAAGCTTAGGTTCAGTTTTCATGTGGTCTAGGCTAGTTTTTGTTTGTCCATATTCCTAGGCCCATCAAGGGGTTCTAACTGAAAGCCTGTGGAAGTAGTTCTCAGATTTTAGCATTTATCTGATTCACCTGACGGACTTGTTAGAACACAGTTTCTGGGCTCTATTCCTAAGGTTTCTGATTCAGTAAGATCTGGTCCCAAGAATATGCATTTTTAAGAGGTTGCCAGGCAAGAGACCCCACCTCTACAAAAATTTTTTTAAAAAATTAACTGGGCATGGTGTCGTACATGTATAGCCCCAGCTACTTGGGAGGCAGAGGTGGGAGGATTGCTTGAGCGCAGGAGGTTGAATTTGCAGTGAGCTACAATGACACCACTGCTCTCTACTCTATCCTGGGCAACAGAGCAATAGCCTGTCTAAAAAAAAAAAAAAATCTGTGTGATCAAAATTAAAGTAGCCCAGGATAACTCTCCTATCTCCAAAAAAGCCATTTTGATTTTTCCACCATTTTTGAGATTAACACTCTTGACATGTTTTCTGGGTAACCTGCAAGGTTTTTTAAGAGAGACAGCCTAACTTTCCCAGATATAAAAGCAATAGTCTAGTTCTGATGTAGAGGGAAATTTTAATCCAGGGCACTCATGAGTTATACATAGTCCCAGAAATGGGACAGATGTGGTCCTGTAATAGGACCTGTACCAACAAACAGGATAAAAAGTCTGTGTCTCACACCTGCTGACATTCCTCCATTTTTCAGACAGCACCAGTTGCCCTTGAAGCAGAAAACAGAGGCGAAATGAAGCTAGCTCTCCAGTATGTCCCAGAGCCAATCCCTGGTATGTAATGATCTTCTATCTAGATCCATGCCCTTTCCTTATCCCTCTCCTCTCCAAAGATTTATTTGGGTTCCAATTATATTTTCTAAGGTAAAGCCCTAAAAAATTTATTATTAGTAATTGTATAGACCAAGTGAGTCAATTCACAGTTGTAAATTAGGAAATTCATATTTTTTTTATTGTGATAAAAAGTGCATAATATAAAATTTACCATCTTAACTATTTTTAAGTATACATCTCAGTAGTGTTAAGTATATTCACATTGTTGGGAAAGAGATCTCCATAATTTTTTTATCTTCCAAATCTGAAACTCTATAACCATTAACCAACAACTTCCCTTTACCCTGCCCTCAGCCCCTGGTAACTACCATTCTACTTTCTGTTTCTATGAGAAAATACTCATGTTTTAAGTCCAGTTTACAGTCATTGTTTTAACTTTCACCACACTTTCCAAAAAATTTGCGTTTGCACAATGTAAATGACCTTTCCTATATTCAGAATTTGGTCCTGTCGATAGTGCTATGATAAGAATGGAACTTGAATGTCCTTTTTCACAGGTGGGGATTAGAATTCGCATGAAGTTCCTAAGAACTTAAAATTTATTGGTCTTCTGCTCTTAGTGTCTCATTAGGAGATAAAGCTTTTTCCTCAAGATTATTGATTGCATCCTTGTCATTAGGGCCTCTGGTCTTCAACTCAGTAAAGGAGCAAGAGACCAGCAGGAAATGAATGCCAGGCAGCCACTTGCCCCATTTCCCAAGCAAGTTGCTCAGGTTGTTTTCCTTAAGAATTTGTATGAAGTTATGGCTGAAATCAGGGGTTGCAAATCCAAATACTTTCAGTAACCAGGCAGTATGGCTGGATGGAAGAAATAATGGATGGTGACAGCAATGACTGAACTAGAGAAAGGCATTCTAATTTGGTTAAAAACAAAAAAATCAAGGGCAAGCAAATCATAGTGTTAGGCCACATTGGTGCCAGACCACCATCTTGTGACTTCTGGATGTTTCTGAAAAGCAGATTCTTTTGCATATAATCTGTATCCTGTCATTTATAATCAACATGCATAGAAATTCTGCCAATCTCATTTCCCATTTTCCCTCTATCACTTGGTGGTGGGGGGGATTGTGTGTTGTGATGGGCTCCATCTTGTCTGAGTTTTTGGTCATGTAATTTTTCTTCCCTGGAATGGCTTCCTCTTCTCCTCAACCTATCAAAGTGTTAGATGAAGTCCTATCTCATCCATTAAGCTTTTCCTGACTATGTTAGCCTTCACCAATCACATCATCTTCCAAAATATTGCAATAGTAACTTGGAATTTTATTGTATATTACATTCGTATAGTTTTAACTTGAATTACTCTCTCCAGCTTAACTGCAAACATTTTCCAAGGGCACAGATTATTTTTTGGTATCCCTTGTATATATAATGACATTCTTAGCATAGGGATGAGCACATAATAGATGCTCCTTAAATACTGTTTAGTTGACTAATTGGGCTAACCCATCCAGAAAAATCTGGTATTCCCTGTCCATAATATTAATATTAACTATTATGTGCATATACACAATACCCAGATAAAATGTATAACCACTCTTAATAAGAAGAATGGCTATACCTTAGCCAGTATCTATTTTGGTTATTTTACACTCAAATATGTTTAAAATGCCTTCCACCAGCACCCCATTGATATTGGTTTTAATGTTTGAAAGGTATATGCATTTCATCGAGATGTTTTGAATATAACTATAAATGGATGATTCACATCCCTCATATCTGATTTTGCTGAACCAAGCAAAACCCAAAAAGAATGATGTAATACTCTGTACTTGGAATCAACATGAATTATATTTATAGAGCTGAGTTCAGTATAGCCAGACTATGAAATATATAGTTAAGAACGTATAGATTTATAGATTTAATCAATTAGGATAATAACATCAAGTACCAGCTAGTATCCTCATGCCAGAAGATTTTTAGGCTGAATTTTTGGATGCAGTATTGCCAAGAAAATTGGCAGTAAAAATGTTTTCTCCTTTTTTTATTGTAGGTAAGAAACTTCCTACAACTGGAGAAGTGCACATCTGGGTGAAGGAATGCCTTGATCTACCACTACTAAGGGGAAGCCATCTAAATTCTTTTGTTAAATGGTAATAACATTGATGACTCTGCCTTCTTCAGTTCTACCATAGCCTGGTCTTCGCTGGTTGGTTTCAGTTCTCTGTGTCTGTGATGCTGACTTATCATTCATAGTTTAAATGAATTTACTTGGAACAGTGGAGACAAGAACTAGAGGAATGTGTATCATGAACTCCCAAGGCTTCACTTAGTTTTACCATCATAAAGCTAAGAGGTCATGTATACAAATGAAAATAGAGGCCTCATACTTAGTTATATAATGTCTTTGAGGGAGAACATCTGTTGGTGAGGGCAATAATCAGTACAAAAAATTTATTACATTTCTAATGGTAGAATGTCACACTCCTTAGCTTCTTTATGGAGCAGGGAGAATTCCTCCTCTCCTTTGTTCCACCTATTTTGTGGCCCATTTGCAAAGGGCCTTTGCATCAGACTGTAGATATTTGGAAATGATTTACTAAGCAAATCCCTACTAAGAGTACCTAAGAGCTTAAGGTAGTTTGGGTTTTTAAATAGCAAACTTTTTCTCTGTTACACATATAAACTGATGGGCATCTAGTAAATAATAACTAAACAGATATTGTTATGCTCTCTTAGCTCCCTCTGAGTAATTTTATCTATTAATATATAGATTCTACCAGAATGGTTGTAGCTACTTAATTAATTAACATATGTGATATACATCTAAGTAGCATATATAATGTAATTTATGATTTTCCTTTCACATTCTCTTCATAGATGTCAGCTGGTAAGATTTTTCAGCTCAGGTCAGTCTCCCATTCTGACCCCACTCTCAAACTTTCTTGCCTTTATAAGAGGCATGGTAGGTTAAAGTTCATGCAATTATTATCATAAATGAAATGTAAATGATTGCAAAAAATCATATATAATTTCCAAAGATCTAGCAAATTGGAGAGGTTTCTTTTTTTCAGTTCCATATAACACTAATTCCTTAGGCTATCACAGATAATCAGGAAAAGAACATGCTTCCAAATTTTAAAGGAATCCTCAAGCAAGTGCTACCATATTAAGCACTTACTAAATGCAAACATCGAACTAAGTGTTTTGCATATGTTATTTAATTCTAATTTCAACCTTATGAAATCAGCGTCACCATTCCCATTTTATAGATGAGGAAGCATGTGTCTGAGAGGATAAGTAGTTTTCCCTAGAATGCATAGCCAATAAATGACAAAATTAGGATGTAAACCAAGTCTAGCCAACTCCATGTCTAGCATGATGCGCCCTCCACTCCCACACCATGCCAAACCACAAGCACTACTCTCTCTCCACACTCTTTTTCGTCTAATGCCAATATTTAGTAGCTGTGCTGAAGTGTATTGAAAGCATAAATGTTCACTATCTTATTAAAATGTTCTCACAATAATGCCTTTTTTTGTAGTACTATCCTTCCAGATACAAGTAGGAAAAGTCGCCAGAAGACGAGAGCTGTAGGGAAAACTACTAACCCTATCTTCAACCACACCATGGTATACGATGGTTTCAGGCCTGAAGATCTGATGGAAGCCTGTGTAGAGCTTACTGTCTGGGACCATTACAAATTAAGCAACCAGTTTTTGGGAGGTCTTCGGATTGGCTTTGGAACAGGTACCATTTGTTACATTTTTAATTTTCCATGAGCCAAATTCTTCTGGAGAAACTAGAGGTTTGTTTATTGCTTTGCTTCTTCCTAATGAAAATAGATATCATATCTCTGTTAAGTATAATGAAATGAATGAGCGAAGGAATGTCAGGCTCTGTGTGCCAAAGGCTCTAGATATGAGGATTAACAGGGTACAGTGTCTGTCCATATAGAGCTTAAGTTATTGTGGTGGCAGGGACAGAAAAGCCTTTATCACTACTGTCCCTCCCCCACCCTTCAAAAAAACATAGATCATCCTTCAAAGCTAAATGTGTGTTTTGAATAATAATAACTAACATTTATGGAGCACTACTCATTGTATTAAATGCTTTATTTGCATTATTTCATTTAATCCTCCCAACAATTCTACAAGGTTGTTACTAATGTTATCCCCAAAGGAACTGATATTCCAAGAAATGAAGTAACAGAGCTACTAAGTGGCAGAGACAGGATTCAAATTGAGTCTGTTAGACATTAAAGCCTTAACTACACTTCCTTAGAGATCATCTAGTGTCATTCCAACCCAGTGTAGGAATCTTCCCAACTCCCGTATTCCCCTGATGAATTGTCATCTAGCTTTTACATTATTGTGAAGAGAAATCATTACTCTAGAAATTATGGGAATGATTATGGAGTCACTCAGATGGTTGAACAGCTCTTCCATATACTGAATCCCATATCTGCCCTTCTGGTGATGTTAAAACTCTTCCTCGCTTTCTTTCATTGGTGATTATAATGAGGAAATGACCTCTCCCCCCTTTTACCCCAAGGAGCTATTTCTTTTTTTTTTTTTTTTTTTTTTGAGACAAAGTCTCACTGTGTTGCCCGGGCTAGAGTGCCGTGGCATCATCTTAGCTCACAGCAACCTCAAACTCCTGGGCTCAAGCGATCCTCCTGCCTCAGCCTCCCAAGTAGCTGGGACTACAGGCATGCGCCACCATGCCCAGCCTAGTTTTTTCTATATATTTTTAGTTGTCTGATTAATTTCTTTCTATTTTTAGTAGAGACGGGGTCTCGCTCTTGCTCAGGCTGGTTTCGAACTCCTGATTTCAAACAATCCGCCCGCCTCGGCCTCCCAGAGTGCTAGGATTACAGGTGTGAGCCACCTAGCCCGGCCTAGGAGCTATTTCTTTATAAATGCAAAACTTTCTTTTTGTTCAGGTAAAAGCTATGGGACTGAAGTGGATTGGATGGACTCTACATCAGAGGAAGTTGCTCTCTGGGAGAAGATGGTAAATTCTCCCAACACTTGGATTGAAGCGACACTGCCTCTCAGAATGCTTTTGATTGCCAAGATTTCCAAATGAGCCCACAGTCCACTGGCTCCTCCACTGAAAAATACTAAACAAGTAGAATCCGATCTTGAAAATCTGACTACATGGACAAAGATCCTCACTTTATCTATTGCCACTAAGGAATACTACACAGCATGTAAAAGTCAATCTGCATGTGCTTTTTTGAATACAAGACCCAAAGGATTTAAATAAAGACAAAATATATACCTTACTTGTGACTCCAACATTAAAGAAGATATTTGAGCAAGCTAGGAAAATTGTACTGCTGCTGCTGCTTCAAAGAAAAAGCTGCCAAAAATTATTAAATGTGGGATATTGGTAACAAACAGAATGTTCTAGTTTGCTACCCTGTGTTTCACACCACAATCTTGTGTGACAATTAAGAGGGTCCGCCGCTTGACCACTGAAAATCCTTGCAGGACTTGTAAATATGCAGGTTGCAGAAAAAAGTAACAAGTGAGGAAAAGCAGAATATCAGTGATAAAGAATTGGACGATAAGAAAACTATTTACTCTTTAATGTCTAATAAAATATGGAATTCCATGTTAGGGAAATGAGACTGAATTTACTACATAAATTTCTGCCTTGAGAAGCTCCTTTTTCCCAAATGTTAAAACAGAAGTTTCAAATGCACTTTGGTGCCACCCACTGGCCATAGGTGGTATTCGGTTCTTGGCTTATTTTGTCTTAATTCTATTTTAAAATAGGTCTGTCTCAAGCCTTTGTTTTATAAGAATTATGTTTTTTAAAAAAACCCTGCATATATGATTGTTTTTCTTATAAATTTACTATATGAAAGCAGCATAAGAGTAGTTACAGACAAGTTTTGTGACAAAGTTTTAATTAGAATGTGAGTTCTATTATGCTGTACTTCACATGTATGTAAAATTTTCATACAGTATTTTGTAAAAACCCTTAGAATAAATTATCATATGATTTAAATTATATTGGAAAATTAGTCTGACTTATTATTTTAAATAAAGTATTTTATATTAGGAATCCTAAAATCTAAATTCCCTAACAAGGCTAATGAACTGCTGGGCTAATATTTCTCCGGAGTCTTTACTGAAACTCTAGGCATCATTTCTCCTAAGTGGGCAGCTTTGGCTATTATTAAGAGTAGAATTTTTATTTTTAAAAAACGTAGTTGAAAAGATTTAAAGATAGGTTAACATTCATTCTTAAAAGGTTTTCCTCAGAGACTTTTTGGGTTGATTTTGGTATATGGAGCATTACTCTCCCTTAGGATCCAACCAGGTTACCTTTCTCAAAACAAGCACTGATTTAATGTAGGTTCAGGGAATCCTGGCTGATAGGTGAACATGGGATCTTACAACAGGCATCTAATAAATGTCATTGAAAACAACTAGAGTGCTTGCCTCTTTCCACAGACACTGGAATCTTTTATCCACTGGTCAGTAAGAGAGACTAACCTAGGGAAATGCTCTATTGTCTCCCTAGATCTTTTATGGGAGTGCTTAGCCTCTATTCTCCCTTCCTGCTCTCACCTTGCGGAAGGACAAGGTGAGCTAGGTAGAGGTACACTTCTAAGGTCAGCCAGGAGCACACCAAAAATACAAACCTTGTTCTAGCTTGTGCCATGTGACAGGGTGGTGACTCCTTTCAATAGTGCAAGCTACTTTCTCAGCCCTTCCTTCAGTTACCCATTCATCCACCACCCAGCATGCAGCCAGCACTGGAGCACTAATGATATTGGGCTCTGGTATCTACCCATCTAGGATGAGGACTGCCTGCCTTCTCCCATCCCCAGATCCCTCACCTTCAAAACACCAGAGTGGACAATAGAATTACCCACCCTCCTTGCACCTACCTGTAGCATTTCCAACTGCCTCAGAAGTCTGAAGGGAAATTCATGTCACATTTTTCTCTGAAAATATAAATCATAAGTTTAGTCTCACCTGGCTACAAGCGGAAGGCTAAGTGTGAGTTTCATGCATTATAAAATGTAAGCAACCTGAATTCTTTAGTGAACTCAGGTTGACAAGCTTTTGAGCCAGTGTGACTTTTAGGAAAAGAACCTGCTAAAACAGATTTTTCTTAAACTGGAGGCATTTTCTTGACTTTTTTTTTCTTTTTTTTTCAGAACCCAACTGGAAATAAACCAAAAAGGGTAATTTTCTGAAAATATACTAATTTAGCCCACAGAATTAAAGAAGAATCCTAGATTACTTTGGAGACTTGCAGGCTAGAACCAGGAACGCAGATGCTATCTCTCTTCATCCTCAGGGAGTAGGAAATAGTGCTTCAGGCAGCTCCAGTACCACAACCTCTCAGCTAAAGAACTTCTCTTTCCTAGGTTCAGCTCGAGAGATCTCTGGGGGAAACTGGCCAGGCTCACATCCTTACCTATCGGACTACTCATTGTGGCCAGGAGTGGATGGAGGAATAGCTTATGATTGACCCAGCCTGGGTAATGTGCCCACCCTATAGCTGGGCAGGAGCGGGGGCAGTGGTCCATTATCAGAAGAATAGGATGTTATAATAATATATAGACACGGACACTAGAGAAATCAAGAACTAGGTATATATGCAATTTGTGTCTACCTCAAGTGAAACTATTTCAAAATTCCATTACTCAAACAATGGAGTGATGTTTATTTCTAAGGGTCACTGCTGACACTCTCCAGAGAAGCCTAAATTTCCCCATCTACCATGACTGCTGTAGTTTCTAAGTAAGTCGTGAGGATCCTGGGAACCCAATGGCTGGCTCACATGGTCTAGAAGCCCACCAAAAGCATAATTACTGTTAGCCTAGACTAACTTCTTCCAGAGAGGCCTGCCACCTTCCCCAGCTATATTTTCCAGAGAACTTGCATGGGCATCTTTGTATATCCCTGACATCCATACTCACCATCCAATTAAAAAGCCCTGAACATCTGCTTTCTCTAGTACTCTCATTCCCATTTTGCTTTGGGATTGCTCTTCCATCTTCTCTTCTGTCTCAATTCCCTCCCAGGATTATTCACTAATATTACTAGTTTGTTTTATAAAACAAATGCCCCCACATACTTGACCCAATCACAGAACATTCCCTCTCTTCCTTTGGCTAGCTTGTCCCAAAAGAATTGATTGTCTTTCAGCCTCACAAAAAGAAGACTCACTCTCCCACACCCAGTCTCTCAATTAGGATGTGGAGTCAGACTTCAGATCATTGCTCTTCTGTGTTTTAAATGTCTCTGTTTCTAAAGTCATGTGCCATCCAGTGACATCAAGAAAGGAGTAGAGTGCAGTGGTTCATCTTCAGAACCAGATGGCCTGGATTTGAATCTTAGTTAAACCACTTAGCAGCTGTGTGTAAACTTGGGCAAGTTACCTAACTTCATTGTGTCTCTTCTATAAAAAACAAAAATGGTACCTACCCTAGAAGCAAAAATAAATCAATCAAAACAAAGTGCTCATGCTTGACAAGTAGCATTCAGTAAATGTTTGCTATTAAGATTATCCTCTCCACTTGTTCTTGTGGTCATCTACCATCCTCCCTAATTCATCTCATTCATTGAAACTTCTGGCATCTGGCTCTACAGCATATGAATGTTCATCAACCATCCTGGCTCTTCAGTTCCTTGACCTCCTCAATATCAATGTTTTTAATCTCCCTTCCTTTTCAGCCACACATACCCACAAACCTCATTATAACTGGGAACTTCTACCTCTGCAGCATTAAATTCAAAGATCTGATTCTGACCAAAATCTTCTATGCTTTCGGCCTTCAGTTCATTATTCTGTAACATCTATTCCTAAAACTCATTGAGGATTCCAGTCCTTCATACCCCTATCAATAACTTCCCATTATCACTCCTCTATCTAGTCAACCACTCTCTTGTCAACAGCCTCAACATGTGTTGCTTCCTTTTCTTTCCACTGAATACCCTTCCACCAGCACTATTACAGCTCCATTCCCACATAAATCCAACCGAACTACCCTGTTTTTATGCCCTTGGTGGGGACTGTGATTGGAGAAAATCACATATTAAATATTTACCCTGCAATTAAGATGAGAAATGGATGGAAAAATAAAGAGTCCTGGTGGCTTTGCAGCTGCAGTTTTAGTTTTTGAAGTCCCACCTAGTTCTTGCCACTCTTACTTTGATTCTAGGAACTACCTCAGTGTTCTTGCTATGAGCCAATAAATTTCAACTTGCTTAAGCTAGATCGAATTGAGTTTCTATCAAAATAATCTTGACTAATATTCCCCCTTCCATCCAAGACTGGTTTTGTACCCCTTTTTGTGCTGTCAATAACACTCAGTTCTTACCACTGTATTCTTTGAAAAGAATGATGTCTAATTTGTCTATGATTACTTTAGCAATTATCACACTGATTTGCTGTTATCTATTATTTGTCTATTGCTATCACTTGAGAGGATTGCAACCTTGGAAATAATAGTTTCTCAGTCTATGTGAGATGAATGAATGAATGAACGAGCAAATGAACAGATGAAGTGTGAACTAAGATGATGGGCTGTGGTATCAAAAATATCTGGATTTGGATCCTGGCTCTATCACTTATTGTCTGGGTGACCTGGAGCAATTGGTTTACCCTCTCTGAGCTTTGGTTTCTTTGTTCCTGGTAAACTATAAAATGTGGATAATAATGCCTACTTTTCAAAAATATTGTTAGAATTAATGAGAGATGTACAAATGCCTAGTGCCCTATAGGGTATATAGAAGAACTCTGTAAATAGTAGCTTTAAAAAAAGGGAAGACATCAAAAAACACAGCAAAGACAAGTGGAGGGGATTCAGTGGTTGCCAGTAAGAAGAGCATTGGCTTAGTTTATGTCTCGGACCTCTGGGAAGGGAATATACTGGATAGTTTCAGGACCAAAGTTAGCTGGAAAAAAATGGTTGAATAAAGAAAACCACCACGGTAGAGAGGAGACAAAAGTGATTACTAAACTGTAAGTTCTGCAATAGGAACAAGTCTGGAGGCATCACTTTACCAGTATTTAAGCTATACTATTGTACAAGGCTATAGTAACCAAAACAGCATGGTACTGGCACAGAAATAGAAACATGGACCAATGGAACAGAACAGAGAACCCAGATATAAAACCAGCCACATATTGCCATCTGATCTTTGACAAAACAGACAAAAACACACATTGGGGAAAGAAACCCTATTCAATAAATGGTGCTGGGAAAATTGGATAGCCACATGCAAAAGAATGAGACAGGACCCCTACCACTCACCATTCACAAAAATTAATTCAAAATGGATAAAAGACTTAAACCTAAGACATTAAACCATAAGAATTCTAGTTGGAATTCTTGTTGGAAAAACTAGATAAAAAATTCTAGTTGGAAAAACTCTTCTAGATATTGCTCTAGGCAAAGAATTTATGAAGAAGACCCTAATGGCAATCACAGCAACAACAAAAATTAGTAAATGGGATTTGATTAAGGTAAAAGGCTTCTGCACAAGGAAACAATCAACAGAGTGAATAGACAACCTACAGAAAGGGAGAAAATATTTGCAAGCTACACATTCGATAAAGGGCTAATAACCATAATTTACAAAGAACTCAACCAAATCAGCAAGAAAAAAAATCAAACAATCCCACTAAAATTGGGCAAAAGACGTGAACGGAAGTTTTCAAAAGAAGATAGACTAATGGTCAATAAACATATGAAAAAATGCTCAACGTCACTAATCATCAGGGAAATCCAAATCAAAACCACAATGAGATATTATCTAACTCCAATGAGAATGGCTTTTATCAAAAAAATCCCAAAACAATAGATGCTGGTGTGGATGCAGAGAGAAAAGAACACTTATTCACTATTGGTGGGACTGCAAACTAGTACAACCTCTATGGAAAATAGTATGGAGATTCCTCAAAGAACTATAAGTAGACCTACCACTCGATCCAGCAATCCCACTACTGACCCTAAGGAAAAAAAGCCATTTTATCAAAGAGACAC